AAACAAACATTGAAATCGGCGTCTTCTGCAACTCTTTACCGATAATTCCTACCCCAATTTGTCATTAGATTATAATCAGAATTTTAGGGTGGACAGCGTTGTTCTTTGATTTTAATCGCAACGGATAGTAATGCTTAATGGTTTCCGGAATATTAATTGTTCTGTTCCGGTCATTGTAAGAGGTTAGTTGTGCTCCAAAGCCTCCATATACACTTATTATTAGTTGTAACATATTTTTGGAGACACAGTAGATGATGGCCTGTAATTGCAACTTGGCTCACACTGTATTATTCTTTGTGGAACAGCAAAATGTATTAAGTCAGGTTAGGGTGTGGGCTTTCATAGGCAACTGAGGGCCTTAGCGCTATTTGTGTAATCCCCTAAACAATCAAACAATCAATGTGTGTTGCAGCTCATTTATTATTTATTTATTTTTATTTGTAATGTAGCTTTGATAGAGCTTTACAAGTCGATATACCTGATAGAATGTACTATTTGAATTTGGTAAAACCATTGTTAAAAGGCTCTCCTATTGAGTAGGGCTTCATTGCTAGTAAACACCTCTTTAGCACAGCTTACTATCTTTTTTCATTTTTCATATTCTTGATTTCCGGGGGGAAGTGGTTGAATAGTCCACTCCTTACATGGATTAATTTATCAAATTCATCATGGCATTTCTTTCTACGGAAGTCTTTTTTTCCCTCAGAAAGAAATACCGTGGTGAAACGAGTTACCATAGTATGAGTAAAATTATACGTTTGACAATTGTTGAGTAATAAATGAAAGCAAACATAGCACTAAAAGTGCCATTTAATATGATTGCAGGAACACGTCCCGGAAATGTTCTTGACATGAGCAAAGAAGTCTATGGAGTCATTTTACCTAAAAGGATAGGTGAGTTGACAATAACCAATGCTGGTCCAGCTCTGTCAGCTGGTCAGTTCCAGTCTCTGTTTGGACTCTAGAAGCTCCCTTTGGTTTTGGTGTGCATCAAAGTTCAGTTAATAATGGTTTTTGTGGTGCCTTGGTTCTTCCCTGACAATTTTAATCATCCCCCGTCAAAATCCAGGCTGGAATTGGTTTGGCTTGGTCGGGTAGACTCCCCTTTCACTTGCTCCTTGTAAATATCATGGAGCCAACCCACTACAGCAGAGTTCTTTTCCTGTAACCTCGCCTGTAACTTTAGCTTGCGCGCCTTAGGTAGACAACCCGCCCATAGTTAGAAAGACCACCACTTAAAACTCAAGTTTCTGTGGAGAGGGGTGTTTCTAACGAAACCAAAGGTAGTTCAATTTTCGGTCAAGGGTGGTTTCTGACGGAACCAAGAGTAGTTTCGTAGTCCCAAACTGGGAATTTCGATTCTATTACTCCTCCGTCAAAATCGACACTCATCGATTTTCGCTAAAAACACCAAAAGGCCTTTGTAAATTTTGCCAAAAACGAAAAATTTTAAAATCGCTGGAAATGGCCGGGATTGGTTTGACAGCATCCTCTTTCAATCTCCCCGTCGTATTTTTTAAGCCGTCGGGCCATTTCAAATGAGTTACGCCTGTTTTTGTTGGACCGGTTCGCCTTCTAGGTAGGCAGCCCATTGTACGCTGCCCGCCAGATTCAAAAGACCACCCCTTAAAACTCAAGTTTCTCTGGATAGGGGTGGTTTCTGACGGAACCAAAAGTAGTTTTGGGGTCCCCTGGTTCACCCCTATCGATTCGACTACTTCTCCATCGAAAGCCGGACCCACCCATTTTCGCTAAAAATGGGAAGGCTATAGCCTTTGTAAATTTGGCCAAAAAACGGAAAAAATAAAAATCCCTGAAAATGGTCGGGATTGGTCTGGTAGCATCCTCTTTTAATGTCTCCGTCGAAATTTCACACCGCCGGGCCATTTCAAGTGAGTTACGCCTGTTTTCTTGGACCGGTTCGCCTGCTAGGTAGGCAGCCCGCTGTACGCTGCGCGCCAGATTCAAAAGACTACCCCTTAAAACTCAAGTTTCTCTGGACAGGGGTGATTTCTGACGGAACCAAAAGTAGTTTTGTGGTCCCCTGGTTCACCCCTGTCGATTCGACTACTTTTCTGTCGAAATCCGGACCCATCAATTTTCGCTAAAAACACAAAGGCTATAGCCTTTGTATATTTTGCCAAAAATG